CTGAGGGTCCATGCCCCAAAACTTAAGCACTAAGGAAAAGAACTTTGGCATTTTCAGGTTATATCTTTAGGTCTCAAAGCCGTGTGTGTGTGTGTGTGTGTGTGTGTGTGTGTGTGTGTGTGTGTGTGTGTTGGTCTTCGCCTTCCACCTTATTTAAGCTGGGGTCTCTTTTCTGTGGTTCACTCATGTGTATGCCAGGTTAGCCGGCCTCAGTTCCCAGGGCTTCTGTCTGCAGCTCCATCTCACGGTGAGGACCCTGGGGCTACAGATGCAGTCACAGTGCTGTTTCATATGGCTTCCTGGATTTGAACTGAGGTCCTCAAGCTTACCCAGAAAATGTTTTACCCACTGAGCCATCTCCCCAGTCCAACTTTATTCTGGCTTGTTTTTTGTTTTTACAAGACAGGGTTTCTCTGTGTAGCTTTGCGCCTTTCCTGGAACTCACTCTGTAGACCAGGCTGGCCTCGAACTCACAGAGATCCGCCTGGCTCTGCCTCCCGAGTGCTGGGATCAAAGGTGTGGGCCACCACCGCCCGGCTCCAACTTTATTCTGAAGTTGTTTATAGTGCTAGAGTTCACACGCAGTGTTCTCATGACCTCTAGGCAAGTCCTCACCACACAAACCGTCCTCGCCCTTCATTCAGGACTCTTCTCCTTATGTAGAGCTTCCAGGAAGAGACTGGGCTCACAGTCACACTCCTCCTGTTTACCTGCCCACTGGAGTGGACGATGGGGAGCAGCGGAAGGAAAGACAGAGAGAGGGTAGGCAGCAACCTCGAAAAGCCTGGCCGGGTGGGAGAAGGAGCTGTGTGGCTTATGGCAAGATGTGAAGACGGAGAAGAGAACTCTATGAACTCTCTGAAGCAGTGCAAACACCTCTGCTCATCATCCAGAACCCAGCCAGCAGCTCACTGACACCGAGCAGGTCCTGGGGCCTAGCATTTCATCAGTATACAGCCTATCAGCTTGTAGTCATCTGGAAGCTTTTATTGGATAGGTTTTCTTTTTATTTGTTTGTCTGTTTTTGAGACAGGGTCACATGTAGCCCAGGATTGCCTCAAACTCACAGAGATCCTCCTGCCTCTACCTCCTGAGTCCTGGACTAAAGGCACTAGCACCAGGCCTGGGCTCTGCCCAGTGTTCGCAGACACTTTTTAACAGTCGTGGGGTTAGCGACAGAGATGACTCTTTCTGTTCAGGGTCTCCAGTGTCTCCAGTGACTTCACTGCCACAGTCACACCCACTATGGTGGGCTCACATCCTTCACCAGGAGGGCAATCTGCTCCCAAAGCTGCCGATCCTCTTCCTGGGCCTTGCTCTGGCTTCGCCATCTCAGCAGCTCAGCCTGGTGGTCCTGATGATGCATGGGACAGTAGCTCTGTGGTTCACACAGCTCCTGAAAGGTTGGGGACAAGGTCAAGGACTCCTTAGGCTCCTGAGCTCTGCCTACTAAGGAGAGGAGGTGCTGCTCTCCCTGGCTGAGGGACAGCAGTTTCTTCTCAGGATGTTTACAGTCCCTGGAGCCTGCATGCTAAAGCTGGCTCCTCGGAGTCTGAGCCACAACCCCCCCAAACCCCCACCTCCCACCACGTGCCCCATCTGAGCTCTTCCACGTCCCTTTACCATATATTCTGGAAAGAAGTCTCTGTAGCCCCCTTTGAGGACATACAGCTCTGGGTAGTACAATGCTGGATACTGGTTCAGAGCTCTGTCTTTTTCTCTCAGAGAACGGCACCTTTAAAGAAAATCCAGAGATGAGTGAGGTGAAGGAGGCCAAGTCAGGCGCCCATGGGCCTTCAGTGGGGAGGGCAGGGAGGGCAGACCACGACTAACCTAGAGAACCTTTAGGGCTGGAAATGCAGCTCGGGGTAAAGCACTGTCTAGAAGACAGGTTTAATCCCCAGTCACCATCCCCAACACACACAACCTCTCACAGTGTTTGCTAACCAGGGTCCAAATATCATTCTCTTTTCCCTGTGCTCCACTGAAGCTTCATTCCCAAATCTCTCTTTGTGTGTGTGCATTTACATGGTTTTTTGTTTGTTTTGTTTCTGAGACAGGATCTCACCATGTAGCCCAGGCTGACCTCAAACTCAGAGACCTGCATGTCTGGCTCTTTTTTTTTTTTTTGAGATGAGATCTCTAGCCCAGGTTGATCTGGAACCCAGGCTGACCTTAAACTTCTGATCTTCCTGCTTGTGTGACTCCCGCTTTTCTGTGCTGGGATTATAGGTGTGCACAGTCATGGCCAGTTCTATGCGATGTTGGGGATCAACCCCAAGGCATACATACATTCTAGGCAGGCACTCTGCCAGCTGAGTTACATCTCCAGTGCCCAGTTCTTCCCCTTAGTGCTCAAGCTTTTGAATCTGGGAACACCTTCCTTCAATCACCCTAAGGCATGGAGGCTGCTGCAGCCTCACTGCTGGCAGCGGGGGGTCATGGCACAGCTTGTTCACATCTTGGTGGAACAGGAAGCAGGTACGGGACAGGAAGTAGGCCCATCCCATGGCCTATGTGCACTAGCCAAGACCCATGTCTCAGAGTTTCTGCACCATCAAACTGTAGTTGGAAGGTGCTCGTTCAGGTCAGTCTCTGTCCAAACTGGTCTGCCAAGTCTCATTCAAGATCCATTTCCATCACCAACCTTAGACACTCACATTCGGGGGCCTCTCTCCGAGGAGAATTCACAGAGGAACACAATGATGATTCTTTTCTGGATGTCCAGAGGAACGATAGGCTTCTTCAGAAAGAACTCATGCAGTTCCTTCTGGCTGTGCAGGTTTAAGGCTCCCTGTAGAAAAGGATGTTGTTAGCAAGTATTCCCTCAAGGGCTTGTGTACAGTCAATACTCAGGAATGCCTGGGATACTATTCCGGGATATTTAGGCCAAAAACTAGGCAGGAGCCTAAGCCTATCTCTGTATCTACCCTAATGCTTGGCAGAGAGTCCCCTACATGTTCACAGAACTGAAGTGCTGTGGGATGTCTTTCTGTATGCTGTGAATATGTGTTGCTCTGATTGGTTAATAAATAAAGCTGCATTGGCCTATGGCAGGGCAGGATGGAGCCAGGTGGGAAAATCCAAGAGAGACAGTGAAGAGAAAGGAGAGGAAGGGAAGAGGCCAGCCGCTGCCCAAGAAGCAGCAAGATGCCAGCAAACTGGTAACACCATGGGCACACGACAACTTATAGACTCATAGAAAGGGGTTAAGTTATAAGAGCTAGCTAGCAAGAAGCTTGAGCCAGAGGCCATCCAGTTTGTAATTAATATAAGCCTCTGTGTGTTTATTCGGGTCTGAGTGGCTGCGGGACCAGGTGGGACACAGAGAAACTTCCGACTACACTGAACCACCAGACCACAGGTTAAACCATGAGGAACTGTTTGTGAACATCCCATGTTGGCAAAGCACTTCCTAGTTCTCGGATTGTTTTTACTTCGAGGCGCCCACAGAAAAGAGACTGTCAAGGAGGGAGAGAGACTGCTCACGGCACAGACTTAAAGCAGAAACAAGGACTTCCTCCGGTGTGATCCAAGTGTATAATCTCTGTCCTTGTGCTAGATGTCATAGGACTCTTTGCCCATCACTCTTCTCAATAAACCCAAGTCTCCAGCTCCTCCCTGGCTAATGTCCACAGTGTGACCTCACCAGGATGTGTCCTCCCAGGTACTCATATGGATAGCGGCAATCGATGATATAAAACTTCTCAATCAGACTCTGGAAGTGTCCAGCCAGTAAAGCAGCCACCTGCACAGAGAGAATGACTGAATATGCTGTTCACTGGCACTCTGAGAGAGGAGCCACAGAGCGCCTTTCTGCATATTCCTAGCACTCACCCAGGACTGCACTGTAAGCACAGCCTCCAGATTTAGCCTGTATTTGCAACACAGCAATGGTTAAGCCCAGTCCCACATATGAGCTTGAAGTGGCAATGCCTGTGTAGAGGACACATGGCTGATGTTGAGGTTGATCTAGAGGCAAGCATGGCCACAATCAGTCTCTCAGGGACACCCGAGGAGGACAGCAGGGGCAGAGGTAGTAGCTAGAGAACCCAATTTTATAAGAAGACATGGGAAATAGTTCCCCATTCATGAGTCTTTCAGAAAGCATAGAGGTGAGAGTTTGTATTTAAAAGAGAAAATGGGTAGCCAGGTGGTAGTGGCACACGCCTTTAATCCCAGTACTCAGGAGGCAGAGGCAGGAGATCTCTGTGAGTTCGAGGCCAGCCTGGTCTACAGAGCGAGTTCCAGGAAAGGCTCAAAGCTACACAGAGAAACCCTGTCTCGAAAAAAATCAAAAAATAAATAAATAAATAAAAAATAATAAAATAAAAGAGAAAATGGGGCTGGAGAGATGGCTCAGTGGTTAAGAGTACTGACTGCTCTTCCAAAGGTTCTGAGTTCAATACCTAGCAACCACATGGTGGCTCACTACCATCTGTAATGAGATCTGGTGCCCTCTTCTGGCCTACAAGCATACATGCAGGCAGAACACTGTATACATAATAAATAAATAAATCTTTAAAAAATAAAAATAAAATAAAATTAAAAAATAAAAGAGAAAATGTAAACTACTTCTAGAAGAATAAATTAATTCAGCCTTTCTAGAAAGAACTGCCCAGCTGATTTCTATCTTCCTTCCCTTCTCTCCTTTATCTATAATAATATATCATTTGTTTAACTAAAATTTTTCAAAAGACAGGAAATGGAGCTGGACATGGTGGCACACACCTTTAATCCCAGCACCTGGGAGGCAGAGACAGCTGGATCTCTAATCCAGGACAGCCTGGTATGGTGATATTTATTTGTATTCAAATGTTATTTGTATGTTAATAAATAAAGTTGCCCGGGGGTCAGAGCTATTAGCAAACCATAGGAAAGCAGGGCAGTGGTGGAGTACGCTTGTAATCCCAGCACTTGGTAGGCAGAGCTAGGTAAGTCTCTGTGTGTTCAGGGATACAGCCAGTATTGGATACACATGCCTTTAATCTCAATACCAACCATAGAATACCTGGAGGTCTATACAGACAGGCCATGACGAGGTGGTCATGTGGTTGGGTTTACAATCAATGAGAAGGCAGAACAGAAACTCTATATAAAGACTTGAACACAGGAAGTAGCTCTGGTTCAGAGAGGTAGGACCACCGCAGGAGGAAGGGTAAGGTTTTAGCTCTTAGCTCTGACTTCTTGGCTTTCTTCTTTGCATTGGTTCTGTTTCTTATTTAATAAGACGGTTGGTTACATCTACAGCCTGGTCTACAAAAAGAAACTTTATCTCAAAAATAAGCAAATAAAATAAAAAGATGGAAAATAGATACAAAGGAGTCCTTTTAATACAGCTTCAGGTGAATAAGAAGCCGACATGAGGGGACAGAGTGAAAGCAATACAGACAGAGGTAGGCGGTAGGGGAGCATGGTCAGCCGGCTGACGATAGGATACGCCCGGTTACCATCTCCAGAATTGTGCTTACTGTGTCTGGGGTGATGTACTTCAGATCTTGGTGTCTCCCTGACACCGTTGGCAGCACACACATCTAGAAAGACCCAAGAACTGAAATTACAGCAGGAATTCCCAACCCAAGCATCCCAGCAAAGACTCCCATGCTGTCCTTTCCAAGTGAGTCATTTGTTTGAGTTTGGTTTTTTGAGACAGGGTTGCTCCTTGTAGATCTGTCCTGGAACTCACTTTGTAGACCAGGCTGGCTTTACTCAGAGATCCCCCTGCCTCTGCCTTCAGAGTTCTAGGATTAAAGGTGTAGAACACCACATGTAGCTTCTAAGTGGTATTAGAAAACAAAACAAAACAGCAGTTCTGTTTCTAAGAACTGATCCCAAGGAACTTACCAAGGATGTACACAAAATTTTATGTTTCTCCACCGATATGCCCATTTAATTCATAAGAAAAATTATAAAACTAAATATCCCACAAGAAAGGATTTATAGAGAAATCATGAGTAGTCAAAGAATTAACTAATGAACAGTTATTGAAAATGATGAAATAGTGGTGGCGGCGGCGGCGGCGGCGGCGGCGGCGGCGGCACACGCCTTTAATCCCAGCACTCGGGAGGCAGAATCATGTGGATCTTTGTGAGTTCGAGGCCAGCCTGGGCTACAAAGTGAGTTCCAGGAAAGGCACAAAGCTACACAGAGAAACCCTGTCTCCAAAAACAAAAACAAAAAAACAAAAAAACAAAAAAAAAAAAAAAGAAGAAGAAAGAAAGAAAAAGAAAAAAAAAAGAAAATGATGAAATATAGGTCTGGAGAGATGGCTCAGTGGTTAAGAGCACTGGCTGCTCTCCCAGAGGAACTGGGTTCAGATTCCTAGCACCTACATGGTGGCTCACAACTGTCTCTAGCTCTAGTACCAATATTTCTGACGCCCTCTTCTGGCCTCTGACGACATTGCACACATGTGGTGCACAGACACACATGCAGGCAACACACCCACACACATAAAATAAACACATTTTGTTGTTGTTTTTTGAGTCTTACTATGTAACTCTGGCAATCCTGGAACTCACCATGTAGACCAGGCTGACCTTGAATTCAGAGACCTGCCTACCTCTGCCTCCTGAGTGTTGGGTGGTGTGCACCATTTAGCCAAATCTTTTTTTTTTTTTTTAAAGATTTATTTATTTATTATGTATGCAGCATGTATGACCAGAAGAGGGCACCAGACCTTATTACAGATGGTTGTGAGCCACCATGTGGTTGCTGGGAATTGAACTCAGGACCTCTGGAAGAGCAGTCGGTGCTCTTAACCTCT